CTCAAGAATATAGTCCAATAAATTATCAAAGTTTGATCAAAAGTCCCCGAATACTCATAACGTTACGCAGTGACCCAGATATTTTATACGTACGTACAGTATCAATACAATACTGCAATAGTATTGATATTAGATATTTTATGCGCATAGATTAAAAGATGGATTAACCCATTGTAGATAAGCTAAAAATGTCAATTTAATTTAATGGCTTATTTGAGTATACACAATGAATACGTAGTTGATGAATAGTTGATGATGAATAGCCTAGTTGATAATTAATGAATGTATAGTTGCTTAGTATATTTTGTTCCTTGTGCGTACGTACGTATGTACGTATTTATTTTCATGCAGAGATTGATTCTCTGCATCCGAGCGAGGCTTATAAATCAGGAAATTTGTTTTTTAATGTGTTACTATTTGTACATCAATTTCTATACGTATAGATTGATATTTCCTCCCGTTCATATAAAATTTAGTTAGTGGCGTAAATACATCACTACGATGTGATATTTAAGTTCACCATACTTGTTTATCATACATACTTATAGGATACAAATAACACTTTTTTAGTAACTTGTACGATTAAACAAGAGTAACAAGAGTAACAAGCATTTATAAAAAAATAAAGAATTCACACCGATAATATCCAAATTTAGCAATGACAATAGTTTCGCTATTTAGTTTAGTTTAGTTTTGTTTATGTTTCACATCAATTATTCGCTTTGCCGGAGTTAACCTAATCCAAGAGGTAAAGAACTCATATAAGTGAACTTTTAGAATTGTGGTGGTTCTTTAATGATTGGCGTACGTTATCTCATATGTAAAATGCGAGTGAATGAATACTCATGAGTTCCATTATTTATATTATAATATGATTAGGTATTATATTTATAATAATAATATTGTTATGATCCTATTATTTGAATATATGCGTACTGTGGGATACTGTAGGATACTGTGGGAGAGATACAATGGGATACGCTGGGTAGTGACACTATTGCTGTAACATTATCGTGTCCGATTTATGTACGTACGTACGTACGTACGTTCGTAGTAAAATATATATTGTAGATAAATAAGTACGTAGACGTGTAGATATGTGTAGATAAATAAGTAGATGTGTAGATAAATAAGTAGATATGCAGATGAATAAGCAGATATATAGATAAATAAGTAAATAAATAAGTAAAAAAAATAAAGTACGTAGTAAGCAAGCATTTAATATGTAATTTTACTTATGTATTTACTCATCAACTATGTATTGATTTATTACTCATCAATTATGTATTTACTTATTACTCATCAATTATGTATTTATTTATTACTTATCAGTTATGTATTTATTTATTACTTATCAGTTATGTATTTACTTATAAATTATGTTCTTATCAATTATGTATATTATGTATATTATGTATATTATGTATATTATGTATTATCACAGATCAGTTATCTCTCTTATGTACACTTACGTACGTACGCACGTATGTACGTGAGAGAGTTATATGTAGCTAAATGTATTTTAAAAATAAATAATTTTTGAACTATTTTTATATAAATTAAATAATTAAAGTAGTTTGTTTGGTTTGTTTCATATTTTTTTTTTTATTACGAATTTTTAAATTAGGAGTAGTATCATATATTAAGATCAAGGATCAAGGGGGGAATGTTAATACATTTCTATATGTATTTAATAATTTAATTGTTATGCATACTATAATATATTATAAATCCAAATACAGTTAAATCAAAATCAAAAATTTATTAGAATTTATTGAAATTCGAAATAGCGAGATTCCAATTAAAAATTATGAAAAATTTTTTATATATTGTATTACTTGCATGCATATCTTTTTTATACATCAAGTTAACATCAAGCTAACAATTTCCTTTTAAATAAAACTTTAAGATTTTTTTTAGTCAACCAAATATATTTTACATATCCGTCTTAATTATGTACGCATAATTATGATCGTTATGTATAATTTTATATAGTTATTATTTATGTATAATTATTATTATATACGTATAATTATTATATACGTATAATTATTATATATTATTATATACGTATTATATACGTATAATTATTATATACGTATTATATACGTATAATTATTATATACGTATTATATACGTATAATTATTATATACGTATTATATACGTATAATTATTCATTGAATACATTATACATACGTAAATTTTGGCTTGGTTTTTTACAAGCTAGAAATGTTCAATTGTGCCCTGATTAGGCTAGTATATGTCGATTATATTCTAGTTCCTTTTCAAGTTCGTTCTTTCTTGAAACTTGCTTTTTAAACTTACGGTAGTACTTATATATATTGGTATCTACAAAAATTCAATCCTAGTGGAAGGTACGATTTACTAATTAGTATCAAATCTGTTTTTTTATTATCCTGAATTTTTTTGGATGTTTCAAAAACAGAATACGTAACCTATGACCTGACCTTGTATTGGTAAACAAAGATAAACAAAAGGATTATCATGTACAAGTGCCGACAAGCCTTTATACTCGCATGCAACCATGTGTCGCTTAACATCCTTTCTTTTTTTTTTTGCATATGCATATTTAAGGGGATCTTTATTTTATGCGCAAGAGATTTCAAAAAATTTTCACTTTTTTTAAGTCTCTTTTGCATAATTCAACTAAACTTATTTATTAATACACTAACTAATAATTAACGAAAAAAAAAAAAAAAAAGACTTCTTTATATTCCTAAAATTTTCTTTCTATCTAATGGCTCAACCAATTGTAAATCCTGAATTTACCTTTCAACCTTCTTGTTTTCTTCTACAGCTTCAAACAATACCTTTCCGATTTCAAGATCTTCTATACTTTTACTTAGATATAGATGAGTAAGTGTGTTGTTGATTTTTAAAGCGTTTGCTAAATTTTCCATCTCAGGTAAAGTTAAATCTATATCGCTTAAATTTAATCTAGTGAGTGCCTTATTCGTCTCTAACGGTTTCATCAAGGAAGCCATTGAAGCATTATTATTACTTAGATCCAGATCAGAAAGTACGTAATTTGTTTCTAAAGCCTTTGCCAAAGCATTTACTGCACGAGAACGAACATTACTGTAACTTAAATTTAAAACTTTGAGAGTTTTATTTTTTTCCAAAGACCTTTCAAGTTCTTTTCCAATTTGTCCAGCTTTGTTAATATTGCTCAAATCCAAAACTCTGAGAGACGTATTTTCTTCTAAAGATTCTATCAAATTACTTATAGCATCACTACTAACATCATTACGACTTAAATTTAAGGTATGAAGTTTGGTTTTGTTCAATCTTAATAATTCCGATATGGATATTACCATATCAGAACTAATCTTTGTCGATTTTAAATTAATACTGGTAATGTTGGTATTTGATAAAATGTTTATTAAAAGATCTTTTAATTCAGAAACAATACCATTATCGCTCAAGCTTAATTCACTAATACATTTATTAATAGATAAAGCTTTTGCTATACTTCTTCCAGCTTCGAGACGAATATAATTGGAACTTAAATCAAGTTTTTTAAGAGCCTTATTCTTTTCCAATGCTTTTGCCAAATTATTGACTTTTAAAGCACTATTCCTGTCGTAAGAATATCTACTCGTTCTACCCGTAAAACTTGTTCTTGTATCTCTTTCCAAAGAATCTATCGTCGAACTAATCTTGTTAGAACCCAAATTTAAAGATCTAAGAGTTCTATTTGTTGACAAAATTTCTGCTATTACTCGTTCTGATTGATATGTAAGATTATTGGAACTTAAATTTAATACTTTAAGTTTCTTTGATCTTATCAAATATTTTTTCAATTTTTCTACCGCAATATGAGTAATACCACTATTACTTAAATCTAAATTTTCAAGTGTTCTGTTACTTTCTAAACCAATAAATCTTACATCGCTCCAATCAATAGGATTATCACTCAAGTTTAAGGTTCTAAGCGTTGTATTTTTTGCCAAAGTTTCTATTATAAGTCTTCCTTTTTTACCAACTTTATCACCGTTTTTGCTTAAATTCAAATCGGCAAGTCGAGTTTTATTTGATTTTAAAATTTTCATCAAATGATTTAATACTTCGGACTCCAAATAAGTCGATCTTAGATTTAAGGAGGTGAGAGTATTATTGGTTTCTAAAACCTTCATGAGAGCTTTTCCTAATGCCAAACTAATATTATTATCGCTTATGTCTAAACTACTAATAGCTTTATTTTCTTTTAAAGTTTTTATCATCACTTTGCTTGTTTCACTATCAAGTTTCTTATAACTTAAATCTAAATCGGCATTCTCGGTGCTTGATCTTAAATGATTTGTATGAACACTTTGACCTAATTCACCTAAATCTTCATCTTCCAATAATATAGCGTACCAATGAAGTTCCGGTGTTTCTGAATAATTTTCATCATCATCATCATCATCATTTACAGGTTCATCTTCATTTTTCTTTACACTAATATTAACATTAATCGTTTTTTCATGACAACCTTTAACTTTTGCCATGTAATATTGTTTGTAACTTAATTTAGGATATTTAAATGAAGTAATGAGAACTGCGTTTGGTTGTAAAACGTCGAGAGTTTTTAATTGAACATCACAACTCTCTACTCCTGTATCCTTGGTTTTTGGAGTAAACGGACATTTACCCGCGCTCAAAATGGAGATGTTTCGTGTATTCGCATCATAAATACCAATTTCAGCTGGTATTCCTATTAATACCCAAACTATTTGTAAATTATTTGGCGGTTCCCCTCTAAAAAAAAGTTAAACAAAATAAAAAGTAAATAAAAAGTAAATAAAAGTGATTAAAATAAATAACGATTGAAAAAGCAAGAAATATAATAATAATAAATAACTTACGCAGAAAAGATATCAATTATCGCTAAAAATCCAGTTTTTTCTTTTGATACAAATTTAACATTAGCATTATTCAATGGAGAACCATTTTGAGTCATAATTCTACCGAAAATTTGATAATTTTTTGATTCTAAAGGAGAATCGAATTTTACAGGGAATTTACAATCTGAACCTTCAATTGGTATTGAACCTGATCTAAGAATTTTTTCTTTAATTTTGGTTTGAATCGTTTGTTCATCATTTCCAAGGAATAATTTAACATCTTGACTCATATCTTCATCCAAAATTTCATATATTGGATATAAACCTTCCCAACCGATAATATTCCAAGAGTCAGGTCCACTTTTCAAACTAGCAATTGCCCAATCTTTAATACCACTTCCTTTAACCGATTTACCATTAATTGAAGTTAATGATAACGAATCAGTGTTGGAAGATTTTGAGAGTTTTCCCCATTGTTTAAGAATATCATTGTAATCACCAGTCTTTTTTGAAAAATCATCGATGGTCTTAATTTCTTTATTAATATTAATCTTTGAATCAGAAGATTTTTGTGTTGAAGAATTTTTCGTCATTGAATTTAATTTATCACCAAGTATAAGTTTTTTAGGTAAGAAATGACCAAATTGTTCGAATACTTTTAACAATTCACGATAAGGATTTTTTTGATCTAAAGCACGATCAATAGCACCGATTAAGATTTCATTAGGTTTCATGGAACCTTTCTCGAAAATGATTTCAGCTCTTATACATTTTAATTCCAAATAAATATCGTTAGCTTGTGATTTGCTGATTAAAGGATCCGCATTAGATACCCAATCGAGATGATTCACATCAATAGCAAGTGAATCGATATTATTTTCTAATAAAAAGGAATCCTTGGATTTTGAAGAAACGATTAATTTTGCTTGAAATTTTGTATCTAAAATTCTCATTTTTGGTTTTGGAGTAGCACATGGGAAAGTAGTAGAATATTGAAAATTTTGAGATTTAATAATTGAAGCATAACCTAAATTTTTATTAATCGAACTTGGTATATTAACAGATGGAGCTTTTGGTTTCACAGATGGTTTAACTCTTTCATCTTCGGCTTCAGCTTCCGATGGTTCATCATTATCTGATTCTTCTGATGGTTCATTTTCAAAAGTTTCATTTTCATTTTCATTTTCAAAATTATCAGATTTATCAGATGGAATTTCATTATCTGACGGTGAACCAATTGCATCTTCTGAAGGTTTAGCATCATTAAATTCATTATCATCAAAATCATCATCTAATAGTAATGATTTTGCACTATCATCTTCATCTAATGGTTTCGTGCCATCATCTTCACTCAATAGTTTCGAGTTATCATCATCATTTAATGGTTTCGAGATATCATCATCATTTAATGGTTGCGAGATATCATATGGTTTCGAGATATCATCATCATTTAATGGTTTCGAGATATCATATGGTTTCGAGATATCGTCCTTAACCAATGACTTAGGAACGTCGTCTTTACTTGATGATTCTAACGCAATTGATTGAGTACTTGCGTTTGACGATTTTAAATGACTAATTTCCTTTACATTATCAATCGAATTATCCATAACAGTAGAATTCGAAATTTCATCAGATTCATCGATTGAAGTCATAGGAGGAGGAGAAGTAACTTTATGATTCGAAATAGTAGTTGAAGGATCATTAACTTGATAAGAAATATTTAAAGTACTATGAGCAGTTTCAAATAAATCATCAGAAGTTGAAGAAATACAAGACATATTTGAAGCGAATGAGGCAGATCTTGGAGTTTGAGTATTAAAATATGGTTGTTCATCAGCACTGTCAGGAAAACAAAAACTGGTAGGAGATTGAGCCAAAGCAGCATCTGTAAGTACAGGTTGGTGATGATCTCCTTCACGTCGTCTTGATAGAATACTTCGATTAGAATTATGAAGATTCATATTATATTTTTTATAACGTTGATTAGGATTAGGTGGAGATGAATAAGTTCTAACGCGGCTATTTGGACTTGTGAGTTGATCGAGTTGATCAGATGAATTAGCAGAACATGAGGAATTATTTCTCTTGGGCTTAGTAAGTTCAGTTTCGATATCTAAAAATTTTAGTAGAATATCGTCCATCTTGATTCTCTTTTCTGGTTTACCATTCCATCCTATATAAATATAAATATAAATATAAATAAAGTAATAAAAGTTCATAAACGTTAGTATATCATATAAAGAAAATCGAGTATAATGAATAATGAATAACAATACCTTCTGCAATTACTCTCAAGTATTTCCTTTGAATATTAAGGAAATCCAAGGAATAAAAAGGTGGATCAGGAGATTCTCTACGATTCTGAGTAACAAGAGTCCTAATTTCCTCTTCACTCTTGTCTTTATAAGGCATTCTTTGAAAAGCCATCTCCCATAAAAGCATTACGAAACTATTATCAATAATATATAATATTAATATAGTTTATTGATATTAACTTGAACTGCAAACTTTAAATAAATATATACCTGAAAACTTCACATTCTCGTGTATATAAATGGTTCTCTTGCATCATTTCAGGAGCGGCCCAATTAATAATACTCGATATATATTCCGATATATGATCATTACTAAGGCCTATTTCCGAAGCATGTTTTGCAAGATAAAAATTGGTGATCTTTGGTTCCATATAGTAAGTCATCTGCGAATGATAAGCGATGATAAACAATGATAAGCGATGATAAACCAATGAATGAATAATTAGTATAAAAAAGAAAAGGCTTTTTTTTTTTTAAAAAACTTACTGCTATATTTTCACACCGAAGATCACGATGAAAAATGTCAACATGACTTAAAAATATCAAGCCTTGACAAATGTCACGTGCAATTTTAACTTTTAGATCCCACGAGATTTTTTTCCTTTGGTAAACATTCCTTAAACTACCTAATCCAGCCCATTCGAATACCAACATTTCATTTTCATTAACATTAGAAAGTCCATAAAATTTAAGAATATTTCGACTGTCACCGCATCTTTTTAATTCTGATAAAATTGATTTATTCTTTTCGAAATGATAAAGAGGTTCACAAACCACTTCCACACCACGTTTAAAAACCTTTCTTACGATATTTCTCATTGGAGCATCATCATCTAAATAACTACATGGACCCCTGAATAGTTCACAAGCTTGATCTACATCGTCTGTAAGAGGAGGATCAAGTAATAAAGAAGAATCGATTCGTGGAATAGTGACGACATCTATAGAAGAACTTTTAAGTAAATCTTCGACAATCGTTTCAATTTTGGATATTGCGTCATTTTTATCATCAGTAGGAATAGTTTTTAAAATCTATTTAACGAATAAAAGAATATAAACGAATAAGAAGAGATTTAACGAATAAGATAATAATAAGATAAGAATATATGATACCTCGTTGATTTTTTTAAAATCTTCATATTGACTTTCTTGTTTGTTCATTATAACTTTGATCAAGATTGGATTTAATTTTTTTTCACAATTTTCATGTTCTTTTATCAATCTTTCATATTTTTCTTTTACATGCCTATAAGGATAAAAGAAATGATAATTTTTTTCAATGTTCGCTATCTCTTTTGCAAATTCTTTTATATTTTCTAAAGAAGTTTTATATTTTTTAAAAACTTCTTCATATTGATGAAAATAAAATGTTGGTATTCGAATGGGCTGGATTAGGTAGTTTAAGGAATGTTTACCAAAGGAAAAAAATCTCGTGGGATCT